ATAATATACAAGTTTCACTTTTTAAATGGAATTACTGAAATCAATCTACTTTTTCATGATATTCTAATTTTATGACCAGCACCTGTAGATTTGACCAATCAGAGGCTTCCTGTCTGCGACACTATCTGAAGTCACCTACAATTTTGGAAAGGTGCAGCAGTGCGTCTGCAGAAGGGTCGGGGCACATTGGCATTCACTGTGACACATAGACGACCTGGTTTCTGAGTATAAATCAGCCTTAACCCCACTACCCTGTGTTGCAGTGTTTTTTTTAAATTAAAGACAAGGAGTTTCTGGTTGATCAGGAGTTTACTTCCTGAATGAGAACATATCCTGGTTCAAATCAGTGCAACAGCTCAGCTTCACTCAGCACACTCTCGTGCAGCTTTCACAGACTGGCTGTAAAGTAGAACGTTAATAATTTCAATATACAATGAATAATACAATAATGAATTATGTACCTGAATGAGAGCATATCGGGGTTCAAATCAGTTAGCACACTGCAACAGAGAGTTATGTTAGCTTTTAACTTAGCACATGAAGTGTTTTACAATATTAACAAAAGGTACAAGAATCGGTGCCAGGCACACGTCTGCTAAAATTGTTTTTCAAAATATCTGTGCAAATGTTGACAGAACCCATATTTATGTTATAGCAGATATTGATATGGGTGGATCCTTCCTTGTTTATGTCACCTAAATATTGCCCAGAGATAATAAATATCAGATTCCCTCTTCACCAGCCGTATTAGTAATCTTATATCCTCCCCTATCCAAACTGGTATGGCAGTCTGACTGGTTTGGCTCCATTTCCACCTTGATCTAACAGTACATCCTTGTTTGTTTTCCTTTAAGTTGTGTTTTTTTCACCCATGTTTCTGCCTGAGGACCAGCGTGCTCACCGGTGTAACTGTCACTCTGCAGAAACCGACCTGCATATTTTGCTTTAGCTCCTCTCTGCTTAAAGAATACTTTAAAAAACATATGTAATTTGTGTCTTAAAGTTTTTACATAGATTTAACAAATCTCTTTCTGTTCTTGTAGCCGAGTGTCCATGAAATGACTTGCTCGCCCAGACTGGTTGTGTTTTTTTTTTTTTTTTGCATAAATCCCCAATTTTAATAAGAATTTCTTAAAGGAATGTGGGTCCATGTCTGTATTGCTCAACAGAACTTTTATTTCTTCCACTCATTTGGTAAATGCCTTTGAACAGAAGGTCTCAGCTGAAACCCTTCCAGGTAGAACCTGAGCACCTGTCTGCGTGTGAATCTCAAGGTTAAGTAAAACATAAAGGCTCCCTCAATCTGCTATAATTATCTCCTAAAGATCTACAGTCGGTAGTTGTCGTCTCAGCCTCGTCTTCTGGGACGGATGGAACAATCTGCTCAGGGTGGATGTAAAGACCAGGGGTCATGGTGGGGAGCATCTCACTGTTCTGCACTCTTAGCACACACTTGGTAAGAACAGCGAGTGCTAAAGTTTGACAGGCGTTTTTCTCCCCACATTAGCTTCAAAAATAGATTTTATTTATTTCTTGTTGCACACAGCTTAAGGAGACTTTGACAGTTGCTCAAATGAATAGGATCTGGAATGCTGAAGATGCATAAGAAGCTCTGCAGTGTTTTTGTGAGTGTTTTGTTAAGCGAACCTTGTGCTAAAAGGTTCTCCGAAGCACAGATGTGTTCCCTAGACGGTTTGCTGCTCAGTCGCTGTGACTTTATAGAGGGAAAATTGTTAAGAACCCTTAAGGGAAACTACAGGTGCATTGAATTTATGCAATAGTCCACAATAGGAAGCAGCTAACAGTATTTTAGAGGGTTCCTTCCTATTATTACACAACAGATCTCTTTGTCAAAATTCCTTATAACTACGGTAGACATTTTAGTTTTTCTTTTTGCTTTTCCTTGAAGAATATCTATGTGCATAATTAAGGCATAATTCATTTTAAGCTTATTTAGACATAAAGTTCAGTAAATAAAAAAGGAAAAGTCATCCCTGTGCTAATGCCAGTGGTTTAGGAGGCTGCAGAATCAGCTTTCTGGCCCGCTGTGTCTGTCGGCGTGTCTGCAGAAAGCAGCTTGTTTGAAAATAGAGAGCTTCCTCAACTTCCAGAACTTGCTTCTTAAAATTAAAACAGCAAAAGAAAGTAAAGGAAAGTTAAGGAAAGACCTAGTTGTCGGTTGAGCGTCCTCAAAATATTGTTTTCAACTCTGGTGGGGAGTACAACAAACCAAAAGTGGCGCCCACCAGTAATTATGATGCGAGTACAAAGAAATGTTTTTTTTTCCCTTTCCAAAGGGAGAAGGGATGTGTAGGTGTATTAATTCCTATTCCTTCCTGCTTCCTAGACTTGGAAGTTCAGATTTAGAAAAATGGCCCACCCTCCTCCCTTGAAAGAAAAGTGGAAAAAAGCCCCAAAAAACAAGAACTGTCAGATTGAGTGATGCCAATCGCGCAAAGCATCTGTGTTCCCACTGCTGCTCCCTGTAGTATATGCCACACTATAGCAATGTGGGAAATTGACACTGTCAATTTATCAGAACAAAAGCTTTCCTCAGCAAGAGGAATGCACATCTTAGGGCCCTGGAGACAGTCATACCCCCCCCCCCCCCCCACCCACCCTTACCTGCATCTAAACAGAATGTAGGACATTCATAACACCAGAAATAGAAATTTCACTCACAATTATCATTTTTTGAATTTATCCCCTGCAGTCAAAACTTGGCGTTTCACTTTAGGAGGCAGAGCTACTCTTTAATGTCAACTTTCTTTAAGTAAACAACTGAAACATCGACGGATTCAAGCAGCTGCTCCAACCCCTGATATTGAGTCAGATCATTGAGATATAAATATATATATTATTTTATTTTTTTTCCAGAAATGATCATTCATTTGTTATAGGTATTAATTATGTTATGCTTCTTTCCAGGTGACTGATCCTGTGATCCTGAACTGTAGTCTTGGTGTTTAGGTAAGTCTTTCAAATGATTTGTTTTCTCTTTTCACAAGACATGAAAGAAATTTGATGTTTATAAGCTTAATTAATCCTTTTTGATTATAAAGAGTTTCTTTTTACAATAAGAGTTCATTTACCTGTATCAAAAATATTAAATCTGATCAGAAACTTGTTTTAGTTAAGTAAATCGATCCTCTGTGCTGGAGGCTAACTAGCTAATCTGTAGGAGTGTAGCCTTCTACTTTTATATATTCCATCCTTTTGTTTGGATAGGTGGGACCCTTTTTCCACCAGGATCCCTGCTCTTTTTCACCCTTATGTGCATTCCCTCAGTGCCAGTTATTACACATTCAGTTTGGACCTAGGAACCTTCTGCAAGCTCTTGTTTCCATTACAACGGGTTCCTAACTCTGTATTTTATCACTGACGTTTATAAATGTTGTAAGAGATGTGCAATATACCCTCATATCTATTTATTTTTAATAGTTTAAAAATTTTAGGTTGGCAACTACTTAAAGCTATTAAACTTTAATATATGTACATACATATATATATATATATATATATAAATTTCGTTGTAAATGAAAGTTTTAGATTTCTGGTTTAGTCTTATACAGTTTCATATCTTAAAAAAAAAAAAAATCAGAATTCCAGATTACAATAACATACAATCCAAAGTTTAGCAAACCTAAAACTAAAACTTAAACGATTGAATTTGAAGTCCCAAACTTTGGCCAGTTCTCCTGTTTTTTTTTGGTTTTTTTTACCAGGGTTTGCAGTTTCTTTTCTATCCACGCTGGTTATCATGAATGCCTACAGAGGCTCTTTGATCTAGTTAGCATTACAAAAGCCAAATAAAACTGTTCCCCTTTTTTAAAATATAGTGAATATTTATAATAATAAGCTTAAAAAGGCCCAGGTTTAAATAATGGTTAATCCCTTTTGTTTTTTCTTCTTATTTTCTTTATTTCATATGATGGAAATGTGAATAAATCCCAAAAAGTTTTTAAAGCTAACTGTCCCAGGAACACCAGGAGGCTGATGTTTAATAATTTAATAACTGTTTTAAAACAGTAATTATAGTGCTGCAAACATAAAATGTTACTGATAAATAAAATTCCTGTTACAACAAAAAAAAAAAAATGCCTTTTAGCTTCCTATTAGTATGGCTTTATTTAATGAAAGGTTATGCCTCATTTTCTTTATCTATTGATTAGCAGAGTCATTTCTGGGCAATAATTTAGATAAGCTGCATAAAATATGCAATGCTTTTGTTTTTTTATTGTGATAGAAACACACAGAAGTTGTTTTGGATGTAAATGCAGTTGTTAAAAGATCAGATCTTTGTCCAAACCCACTGCGTTATACTGAAGCCTTAACAGAACATGTGATAAATATCACTTAATAAAATGCATCCAAGTCTGCTCGGAGGTGGCTGTGCTTAGCAAAGCATGTGCTGTAGTTAAATGCCAAAACGTTATGTTTTACATAAAACCAGATGGTAAGTGGCTCCCATGGGAGCCAGAGTGCTTCTTCTATGAATTTGAAAATGTTAAACAGGTGGTCAAAGAAGCTTATTCCCATCTGTAGCTCCTAATAACTGATACCCTTATTTGTGACCTTAAAGATGCATGAAACTCGCACTGTGTCCTGCTGCAACACAAACCTCCAGAGATGAAACATTTGTACTTTTCCTGTTGAAATAATGATTAAATCCCGTTTTGCAAACTCTTAAAACTATGTGTAAGAAAGCTGACGGTTTATTGATTGACAGTAGAGCGTTTAAGTGGTCTTGAAACAAGCCGTCTGTTTTTGGTTGATAGCAGAGCTGCTTCCTAGACGGAACGTCAACTTCTCCGATCAAACTTCCAGCTGAATCATTCCTTACCCACAGCTGCTCATAACTACACTGTTAGGAGAATGCTCTTTATTTTCTCTATTGATGTTTTCTTCAAAAGAGCCCATTTTTTACCTTTGCGTTCTGTGATTCAATATCACCATAGAAACAAGGTCTGCATTTGCAGGAAGTTTGTGTGTAAGGGTCATCGGAAAGGACACTTTTACACGTTGAAAGAGTAAAGTGAAGCTGTCAAGGTCTTTTCCCTTCATGCTGTTGCTTCTTTAACCCGGCTGATAAAGGCAACCTTTCCAAGCTAACATATAATGGCATAAAATGAACCTTTTAAAGATAGATTTGACTTTGTATGTAAAGTCTGTTGTTATACTTTGAAGCAATACAAGACTGTTTTGTAAGGTTGGCTGATAAGGACATAAAGTCTTATCAGGACATTTTTCCATTTCAATCGTGATGACCGTAAAAGTGATGATAAAACCGGTTTTAGTCCTAGATAAATACTGTAACTGTATGTCTGACTGCCTGCCACAGCAGTCAGTGCCCCACAATCACAAATACTACTTGTTCTTTAAATCTGTAATTCCCATGAAGGAGGAATAAAAGAAAAAAAGAAGGAAAACATAAAAACATTATTTGGATAATTCATCCTTTTTTTGTTGCTTTTTTTAAAGCATCATTTATTCTAATATATAATTTAGGTGATATATTAAAATTCTTATCATCATGGGAAATGTATTACTATAACTATAAACCAGGGGTGTGAAACCTTTGGCTCCAAAGCCTAAAGTGGCTTTTTGGACCATCTACATAGCTCCTAATAGTGGCTAAAACAATAAATAGCAAACTTAAGTTTTTTTTTTTTTTTATAGATGGTACAATAACATATATTCGTGTTTGAAGCTTCAGCAGATTTCTAAGTTGAATTTTCTTAACATAATTATATTAAAAAAACATTCTGTACAAACAATAGTTTTCCACAAATATTACCTTGCTATAGAAAAAAATCCATGCATTTTATATTTTTCCTTTTAAAAAACACAAATAAATAGCAACAGATTTTCCTACAGCAGTAGTTTAACTGAAATAAAAAGTTGTGTTTGTAAAATCTGCAGCTCCAATCTACTTTTTTTGTTTGGACAAAATGACTCTTAAATGTTGCAGACCTCTGCTATAAACAATAAGGTAGCTGTTGTAGGTAGTGGAGTGGAGAACAGAACTGGGAGCTGGAAAACGAAAAGGAAACATCCCACCCCTACTAGGGATGAAGGATTTCTTTTTAAGGCCGATGCAGATTATTTTCACATCAGTCTAACTGATCTGTTTTTTTTAATTCTAACTTTTTAATCTAACTTCAGTTTTCTTCACTACGGGGGCAATACTTTTGTCTGTTATTGATTCTTCCTCCATTTAAATGATGGAAAAGACACAACAATAGCATTTGCTTCTCATTTATCAATGTAAAAAACAGAAAATAAAAAAAATCTGTGTGTATGATTAGGTTAAGCAAAATTTAGACGTCTTAAACGGTGCTAATAAATAAATGTTATAATATCTGTAATAAGCCATGTGTTACTATGTAAATTAACATCAAAACTATATCATATATTTTTCTATATAAACTTCATGATACTATAAATAGTAGGACCTAATGAAAGCAAACATACGGAAGAGGATTAGGGCCACTGAAAAAAAAAAAAAAAGTTTACTGATTCTTAAATTTTATTTCAAGTCAGAATTCTGACTTGAATCTCAGAATTCTGACTTTTTTCTCAGAATTCTGACAGATACCAAACATGTTAGCATCAAGCCATAGCCATGTCTGTTTTAGAGACTAGCTCTCTTGTTTTAATGACCTTCTGCTCCTCCATTAATGAGGGGACCCCTCTGGCACGTAAAAAGTTGCCTAATTCCGTCATTTTCCACCAATGTGTCACTGGCCCTCTCAAACAACTCACATCTTTGTCAGTGAAGCTGAGTGCTCCCACATCTCTTCCTTCATGGTGCCCATCAGATTAAGATCCAAAATTCTGCGATTAAAGTCAGAATTCTGAGATTAAAGTCAGAATTCTGAGATTAAAGTCAGAATTTTGAGAAAAAA